GTGCTCAACTGTTCTCCACGGGGGAAGGTCTCACTTACCAGTACGTCGTCGCCGATGGCTTCTCACATTTATTGGGCTTCTTCTCACTCCTGTCATTGTTTCAGACCTCGCTCTCGCCCCCTCTTGCTTTCAGGAGTCCTAGCTTCAGAAGCTGTTGATCTCCGTGGATGATGCCGCCCTGGATGGAAGTGCTGCCAAATAGGACTATTTAAGGGGGGATTTCGACAAAAAGTCCCATGCAGTAGCCTAAGGGTTTGCCTTTGTCCTTTGAGTCTCGCCGGTTAGATGGGATGGAAGTGCTTGTATTTTTTAGGGTTGTGAAGAGCAGTCGGGGAACACGTGATGTAACTCGAGCTGGTATAGCATAAGACATGCGATGATACGAGACACAAAGGCAGGTTTTCTCCTCATTTACCTTCCAACACACACGTCATTACCCGCACAAAAGAGACATTTGTCATCACCGTATTTCAGCATTTTAACCTCTCAGGACCTCGTTCGTCCAAGTTAGATAAAACGGGCAGCCTTTAATAATCGTCGGGGAAAGGGGTGGTCGTCCGTAAGTCCTATTTTAAAGGCATTCACAAAGACAGACTTGAACCTCTGAAAGGAGTCGCATGACATCTTTTTTACGCTGCAGAAAACGGTATTATCATGTGTCAGTCGAGAATCCTGTGCTGTCAGGAGGCCTGTTGAATTTGATAGGCCTATTATCATGTATCAGCTGATCTGTGGGAGGAATATGATCTGTAGTCAAATATTTGACATTTTCCCTTTAAATGTGGCCATACATTGTTAACCAGTGGAATTTTATGTTGTAGATCATGAATTTTCAATCTCCTGAGAGGGTTGTCATTTTAATATAATTGTATAATTTTTGGGAGTTCCAGCATAGAAGGGCAAGATGAATGAGCTTGTAAAAGGTCACTGTGTCAGGTTATTCGTCATTTGTGGATGCGTTTTTTGTTTCATATTTTCTAGTAATGCATCTTACAGGAAGAATGATACTCTATAATCAGACAAGTAGAAAAGATATTGAGTATTTCAATCTTGAATTTTAAGCAGGATCTTTTTGCACTTTAAAACAATGAATGTCTAGTCAGGTTCTGTGGCAGCTTGGCTATCACATTACATGTAAATGAATATGTAAATTAATGATTTTTATAGTTTATATAAAAGTGTAATAGAAACCCTTGAATTGTAGGATAGGTTTAATTAAAGATGCTTGCTTCTGAAATTTAACACCATGCTTATAAAGATGAACATTTCAAGGAGAGTCACACAGCACAACAGTCTGTGAAGCTGTATCTGTGGAATACCTTTTTTTTCCATATTTTGTGTGGGTAAGTGTGTAGCATTGTAATGACAACAAGGGTAAAAGTTGTTAAGTGTAAGATAAGATTTAAAGCTTCAATAAAGGCTGGGTGTTTATGCATCCCACTTATTTTTGGATGCATGTGTTACACTGGAATTTCATTATTTAGAGGTTATTCATTCAGTAGTGACTAGGGTTTTAATTTGGCACAGTGTGTTACTTTAGGAATTGCTGTGCAGATACAAATAAATGAATGAATTAGAAGTGACTAAAAGAAATGAAATTCCTTTTGGCATCACGATGTTCATATTAATAGGTTTGTTCAGCTTCTTTCTGTTTTATATTTATTTTGTAGGTACAAGATTTTTCTCTCCATGTATTGATTTTTCTTGGTGAAATATACACATATTTCTATTTTGTGTAATAGATGTAATCATTTTTTCTTTTCTTTTTGATGGAACTAGTTAAGCATATTTTATTTTCTTTCCAGTGACTTCATCATTCTCCCTGGCTTCATTGATTTCACAGCTGAGGAAGTGGTATGTTATCATGGAATGAGAGAAACTGACAATGCACAATATTGCTTTGATATTTTATAATGCCTTTACTGTCTGTAGAATTTGTCTGATTCAATTGCTATGTGCCAATTTTTTTCACCATTTATTGTCACAATTTACTTTTATTGCTTGTTCTATCATATTTTTCAAATCTAAAAAATGAACAACTTTTTGAAATTTATCTATTGTTTAGGCAGAGGAGATATGATGGGAACATGGAACTGGCCTGTTTTTATGGATTCATTTTCTTTTTTGCAGGACTTGACCTCAGCTCTCACAAAAAAGATCAGTTTGAAAGCTCCTCTAGTATCTTCCCCAATGGACACTGTAACAGAATCCGAGATGGCTGTTGCGATGGCAGTATGTATTGTATTTTACAATATGTTGAATATTATCTAGGGTATCATTATGGTGTGGTAAATCCTTTTAGTGTATGAGTAACAGTAGAAAAAGAATATTAGGTGGTTCTTTCACCTTGCTAATGAGAATATTCTGTTATTTACTCTTGAGCACATCTTAAAAATGGATTAATACTTCTGAACATTTAAGAACTGAGATCTTAATCATTGACTATCCTACAGCTTTGTGGTGGCATCGGCATCATTCACCACAATTGTTCACCAGAGACACAAGCACAGGAGGTCATGAAAGTCAAGAAGTACAAGCACGGCTTCATTCGTGACCCTGTTTGCCTCACTCCACACCACAGAGTTAGTATCTATATTTTGCATAATTAGACCATGATGATATTTAGTGAAGAAAACCATATTGACCCAATAATTGTCTTTGTGTCTGAAAAATGGTACTTAAAGGAAGGGACTGAAGTGGTGATGGGTTTACCTAACTAGCCAGTGTATTGCCTGTAGCTATAGGTATATAGACTACCAGCATGTATATGTAAATGTTGACTGTCTTGCAGTTATACATACACTGTACATGATTATACATCTTTATTCTTATGCAAGGGGATTAGGATATATCCTGTGCCTATTGGTCATTCTTAGCTTTAGATTCACTTCCAAGGTTTAGGAGTTAACTGTACAGTCTGTACAGTGCTAGTGAATTTTGTTTGTGCATGATTGTCATTGTTAGAAATTGAGGAATGATAACTTTTATGGGAATAAAACTGGCTCTCTTGAAAATGTAACGGCTTTGCATAACATAAACCTACTCTTGCAACCAAAATAAAAGGTTTTGTATGTGTGCTAGGGAAAACAAAGTTTTATGTAGCTGAACAGTATTTTTATTGTTTTAGATCCATGATTTACTTTTTATTTTCTTCTTTCAGGTATCTGATGTTTTTGATGTAAAGAAAAGTCATGGCTTTGGTGGAATTCCAATCACAGAAGATGGAAAGATGGGCACACGACTCCTTGGCATTGTTACATCACGAGATATTGATTTTTTGGAACCTAACTCAGATAAGTTGCTCTCGGAGATCATGACTCCGTTTGATGACCTGGTAACAGCCCCAGCTGGTGTCAGCCTTGATAAGGCTAACGAGATATTACAGAGATCTAAAAAAGGTGATTATATTATGGTTTTAGTTAAGGTTGGATTTTATGTTGTAAAAGCCATGTTCTACATGGCTAGGTACTGTGTAAAACTAATATGTTGGTAATTGTTGACAGAAGCACCTCCTATAATCTGGTTTCAAATACCTCTATGTTGGACTTATTCTTTGTGTTGCAGTTTTGAGAAACCCTGCTTTATCTTCCATTGGTACTTGTTTGAAAAGTGTGTATGTATGGAATCAGTACATGATATTGTAAAAGATTTTTGTAGATTTAGAAGCCCAGTTTTTTTTACTGATTTTAAGATTTGATTCATAGTTTGCAGGATTTGTAAATAAATTGTGTTTACTTCCAAAGAATATGTACTTTATGCTGTTCTCTTCATTTGTTCGTCCTCTTTCTAGGTAAACTACCAATTACAAATGAACATGGTGAGCTTGTAGCTTTGATAGCACGTACTGATCTCAAGAAATCTCGCAACTTCCCAAATGCTTCATATGACGCTAACAATCAGCTGTTGGTGGGAGCAGCCATTGGAACACGGGAAACGGACAAGCATCGCCTTGAACTCCTTGTCAATGCTGGTGTTGATGTGGTGGTTTTGGTAAGTGCAGATGCCAACAGTCTTCCATTTTTGTTTATATTATGAGTAATGTTAAAAGAAGAAAAAGAAGAAAAAATAATAATAGTGAGATATGTGAATAGAAAAGAGAAATAGAAAGTGTGAAAAATCCAATTAGTGATTGGAAATGTGCATCAGTGTACGAAACAATGAGTTATCCCCTTGTATTTATTTATGGACTTTTTGACAGGATTCTTCACAAGGAAACTCCATATACCAAATCAACCTAATCCGCTACATCAAAAATACTTATCCAGAGCTCCAGATTGTGGGTGGCAATGGTAAGTATAAGTTGAGAGTTGATACTACAAGCATAGTTTCTGGTAATCCTTGAAGGACACTAAAGCAGGTTATGTGACACCTTGCACAAAGAATAATTTCTATCAACTAATACTTTGGCCTAAAATCTAACTTTTTCAGTTCAGAATTATGATTTTTGTGAATTAAATGTAAACATATCTATACATCTATGATTACAATTACATGTAATGTAAATGTAATTGTACAATTAACTCAAGTGTTTTATATACACATTTATGTGTACAAATACACATAAATAGACATGTACATGTAGATGTATGTTTACACATACATTCTCATACTCTGATTCACACTCAGGCTTGCACACGCACATGCATTCAGACATAAACACATATGTATATGTATATGTTGACATTCATAAACTGCCATTTGTGTAACATGCTAATTTTTTTTACAGTTGTGACAGCAGCACAGGCAAAGAACTTGATAGATGCGGGTGTGGATGGCTTACGAGTAGGTATGGGATCGGGTTCCATCTGCATCACACAAGAAGTTATGGCTGTTGGTCGTCCTCAGGCTACAGCTGTATACAAGGTGAGGGGTTGCTTTACTGATGCATACTGCAGTGTACTTTTCAGAGGATTCAATTGTGAAATCTGTAATGTATGTTATGGATATATGCAAAGAAATGTGCACTTTTTTTCTCTCAATTATTTGCTTTTTTTCTTCCTTGTCTTCTTTGTTACTAACTTTGTGACTTCTATATTTCTTCACTTTCTCCTTCCTTCTCCAGGTGGCTGAGTATGCTCGGCGCTTTGGTGTACCTGTGATGGCTGATGGTGGCATTGCATCTGTAGGTCACATCATCAAAGCCCTTGCATTGGGTGCATCCACAGGTATATTAGGAGGAATTGTTGATAGAGAAAGTGTTTTTTTATGGTAGATAAGATTGAATAATAGATATATAGGCTTTCATAAGATATCTTTTGTTTAATGACATGGGGAATCTTAACTGATTCATCTGCAATGAATTTCAAATTAGTCATAGGATAATGGGAGAAACAAAATGAAAGCAATGAAAAAACATTTGAAGTTCTGATGTTATAGATAGAAAATGGATTTCATTATAATGAAAGATCCTTTGAATCCCCTTGTTATTGAGGGGTTGACTATATACAGGATTTGCTATAAAGAGAGAAACAAATATATATATATATTATTTTTTTTGTTTTTACAGTAATCCAATATTGGTGTATAAAGATGAATCACTGTAGATGGTTCAGTCAGATTTCCCTATAGTCTGTGTCAAACTCCTTTATTAACACATTTATACCCCTAACAGTAATGATGGGTTCTATGCTGGCCGGAACTTCAGAAGCACCGGGAGAATATTTCTTCAGCAATGGTGTGAGGCTTAAGAAGTACCGGGGTATGGGCTCTCTAGAAGCCATGGACCGTAAAGATACCCAGGGTGCAGCTGCTGATAGATATTTCCATGGGTGAGTACTTTAGCTTTGGTCTTTTTTATGGTAGTATAATTGTAATTGATGTTTTCTTTTAAAGTTCTTCAAATTATGTATAACCATTCCTTGTATCACTGACATCTGTATGTCATTATTCATGTTCACTAAGCTGATCTTGGTTCACACTTACGTCTTTTCCATGTCATCCTATTCCTTGTTTTCCATATTTCTCTTCTGCCTCCTCCTGTTCCTGTTTCACTTTTTATGTTTCTTGTCCCATCTCTTCCTTTTCCATTTCCTTTTCCTTCATTATTCTGTCCTGGCTGTTCCTTTTCCCCCTCTTTTCTCCTTCTCCTCTTCCTCTTTTCTTTTTTTGTCCCTTAGTTTCCTTCTCATCTTCCTTTTTCATGTTCCGTCTTTTCCTAATCCTCCTCCCCCCCTCCACTATTCACATTGTTGTTAGTGTATTTGTAAGAACACAGAAAGGGAGTAATTGTCAAAGCAGAAAATGGGCAGGAGTTGGTCAAAGACAGTGATAAATTAGATTACTCTGTGATTGATTTTTGTGAAGCATGTTTTATGTAGAGTTTGCAGAGGAAGCTAAAGGTAAGTTTTGAGAGGTAAATGCAACCTGATTGGAGAGTGACCTTGGTTATGATTCATATTATAATTTTATTTAGGGTCAAATTCATACAAATATAGAAATAGTTTCAGTAAATAATCGTATAAAACAGAATGTAGTGATAAGATAATGGGGTGTGAATTGAATTTTGATTTAACATAAGCATAGTTTAGGGACTTGCTCAGAATCTTATGGCAAAAAATCAAGGAATTCTAAAATTCAGAGAATGAAATAACTGCTTCTAAAATTTGAAAATGATAAAAAAATCCAAAGATGGGTTATATTTATACATTATAATAGTGCATAGTATTTATGACTTCCAGTTCTTACAAAAGTGTTCGTTTTGGTATAAATGTAGTAGTTGCATTTTTCTCATGTATCATACAGTGCAGATGCCATGTTTTGAATATATACTAAATATAGATGTATCACTCCTTAAAGATAGATCACAGTAGTTATGCTGTTGATTGTATATTTATTATGTTAGGATTGAAATCATTTCCTAAGAATCTATCGTGAATATTGTCCATCTATATATATACATATATATATATTTTTTTAGTTTATTATCAATCTTGATGTACCATAGTATTTGATGTCATAGAATGTGATGCATAGATTTTTTAGATATGATGGTACTCTTGTTCTTCTTTGAGCACTTTAGTTTGGTGTCTTTTATTTTTGTTGAAGTGCAAATGGGTGATTTTTTTGTTTAGGGTTTTTATATTGTTTTTACTTTAAATTGTCAATCTTCTTACTGAAACTGAATTGCAGGAGTTGAACAGTCATTGATACTCATGTTGTGAAAGGGTGATCACTGTTTACCAAAAGTTTTGCAACTTCTATCTGTTTAATTGTAAATTACATGTAGTTTATAAAGAGTGAGATTGATAAACTTGAAATGGTAACATACTGTGCATGCAGGCTACATCAGAGATTAGAGTAAATGACCCATTTCATAATGTAGCATGATTGTTGTTAGTGAGTTTAGTACCTTGAAAATCGTTGCATTTAAAACAAAATTAAGAAAGCTCCTTTACTCTGTAATAGGAACATGTATACCTTGACTATACCAGCTGTTTGTATGTAAGGAATAGTTCAGTAGTTCCTAAATTTTTGAGTGTAGTAAAATTAATCCTAGAGGTT